TTTTTATAATATTTTATCTATAAATTTAAATGTTTTTTTATTTAATTTTCTTTTAGGTCAAGCTGATAATTTCATCCCTTTGTTTTTCTTTTGTTAATTGGATCAAAAACTCCTACCCAAAATCTTAAAATATGTAGAAACAGTAGTCAATCAATGTCAAAAACATTTAATTGCTAGTAAATATATACCCTTTTAATGCAAATTAAAAATCCTAAACTTCAACTTTAAATATTAAATGTGATTCTTCGGTTTTTTTCTAATATAAATAATTTTTTTTTTATATTAATCTCTTGATATTCGATAACTACATTGAGTTTGACTTCATTAAAAGAGAAATTTCTTTAACAACTGTTTCTTTATTTATAAGATTTCAATTCAAAATTTTGTTTAAAATAAATCAAATTTTTTTCACTCGAACTAACATATTGTTGATAAAATAATATAAACAATTTGCTATAACAAAGGAGACTAAAGGAACGGAGGGGTTGTGAAAACGGGGGAGGAGCTTATTGAAACTTGAACGTAATCCACTAAATAAATTTCACATGGGCCCGGTGATATATCCACTACGCTGGCAGCGTGAACCTGCGGCTGTAGTCTGGATTTCGATTCTTCGGTTTTTCTGTACCTTTCCCTTGTTTTAAAATGAGAAAGTAGAACAGAGAACGCAATAAACACAGCTTCCCAAACAACAATAATCAAACCAAATATAGGATTTTCGGACCCACTACTCACAGGTGTCACTGCCTTGTTCTGCATGCCATCCCTCTCCCCTGCACAGTGTTTGCCACCCTCCCGTTTGCTTTTTTATTCTCTCCCCTCCATCTCCCCCCCCCCCCCCCCCTTCCCCCAATTCGCTCTTCAACCGTCCTTTTCATTTCTTTCATTTCACTTTCCTACTCTGTTTCTTGACTCTTTCCTGTTTTCCCTCCAGCATCCATGGCAGACCGACCATCTCTGTTTCTCAAGAACCCGACCCTGCTTCTCTTGTTACTTTTGCTCCCTGCTGCTGCGGTTACAAGCGGAGCCACCCGTTTGAACTCTTTGGAGTCTGTAATCCAGATGCCCACAGAGAAAGATGAACCAGAAGCTGTTGATGACCAAGAACTTGGCACGAGATGGGCTGTTCTTGTGGCTGGCTCTTCTGGGTTTGATAATTACAGGCATCAGGTGAACTCTGTTTCTTGCACCTAAAGAAAACAGAGCACTACTTTCTTTTCCTTTTCCATTTTCATATAGTTTTTAAGTTCTAAATTCAAGAAATCCTGTTTTACTGTTTATATTACGTTGAATTGTAAAATATTTTCTCACTTATATTACATTGAATTGTAAAATAAAAATTATTAAATAAAAAAAATTCTTAATATTAAAAAACAATAACTATTAGATGAATGAGAGGACCTTAATGTTATGATCCAATCTCTTATCTACTAGTTAACTATAATTTGAATTATATTATACTTTTTTTATAAATTAAAATTATAAATTTATAATTTTTATAAAATATAATAGCTTTAT